GAACTCCGGTTCACTAGTTGAACCCTGAACATCTGGTTGGTCAACAGTTCTGCTGAATAGGGAGGCACCAGAAGAAATCCCCCTGAAGAAAAAAATCACCTGAAGACAGAAGAAAGTGGAAGAAAATCACCCTGAAACAGGAACCAACGGGACAGGACAGCTGATGGACAGGTGGAGGACAGGTGGAGGACAGGTGGAGGACAGCTGATGGACAGGTGGAGGACAGGTGATGGACAGCTGACGGACAGGTGGAGGACAGGTGGAGGACAGGTGGAGGACAGCTGATGGACAGGTGGAGGACAGGTGNCTCCCAGTCTGGGTTCTGGAGGCAGACACCCTCTCTGCTGAGTCATTATCTATAAAATCTGAATCAAGTTGGACAGACATCTAAACGGCTGCATTGTGTGGTGATCATCAGCAATCGGCTCATCTCCATGGAGCCTGTTTTCAACACAACAGGTTCACACAGACAGCCAATCACAGCAGAGGGTGCAGGGGAGGCGTCCAATCACAAGAACACACACTAGAATCATGACAACACACAGTGACTCATGACGAGAGTCAGTCAAATGAAATAAAATCTCAGCAGGTGAAATGATGCCATGAGGAGGCGGAGCTCTGTTGCTGTCCAATCAGAAGAGGTGAGTCTGCAGTCGGGGAGGTTCTTATCTGAACAGGAAAACTGTTCCACTCACAGAGCAGGTTCAACACATCCAGACTTTCTTTCATAAGTCGGCTCAACAAAGCCTGAATCCCAGTCAGAGACATCAGGGATCAGAAGGTGTTTATCAGTGTTCTGTTCATTCAGCCAGCAGCTGGTTCTAACGAGAACAACGAGGAACATCAAGAACTGTGGCTTTAAAGAGCTGCTGCTGGAGATGATGCAGGACAGGAAGCTGCTGGAGACCTGCTCACCATGTGGTCACTATGGATGGTCCTGATCAATGCAGTTGGTTATTGATCACTGACAGTTGATTATTGATCACTGACAGCTAGTTATTGATCACTGACAGCTGGTTATTGATCACTGACAGCTGGTTATTGATCACTGACAGTTAATTATTGATCACTGACAGCTGGTTATTGATCACTGACAGCTGCATGTAAATGATGCTGCAACTGCTTCATTCAGTGTTTCAGTAACGTACAGATCAGCAGGTTTACAGAGGAAACATCATCATCAGGAACCAGTCTGGTTAAAGGGAGACGCTGAGCAGGACCTGGACCAGGTCAGCATCAGTTACCATGGAGACCATGCTCCGCAGCATCAGTTACCGTGGAGACCTAGCTCCGCAGCATCAGTTACCGTGGAGACCTAGCTCCGCAGCATCAGTTACCGTGGAGACCTAGCCCCACAGCATCAGTTACCGTGGAGACCTAGCAGGTTAAAAGCGAGACCTTCATGACACAGACATCTTTGGCTTCAGGCTCAACATATCTGCTGACTCAATAATCCTACAACCCTGGCAAAAATATGACTCAGCAGTCTTGGAGGATGTTCATTACATTGTTTAATTTTGTAGAAGAAAAACAAATCACAGACATGACACAAAACTATTTTTATTTTAAAAAATAAAAAAAGAGCCAACTTTCTGCTTCAAGAAACAATAAAAATAAAGAAAGACAATTGTTGTAGTCAGTTACAATCGCTTTTTTTTTTTTTTTTC